ACTTCCGAGATCACATTTCACGCACTGGATTTCCTTCAAAATGGTATCTTTGACTTTTGCTAAGGTAAGTGGTCCGGGATTCATTTCGATGTCGTTTGCACACAAGATTCTATGTGTTATTACCTCAGCGGGCAGTGGATTACCACCTAAAAGGCAAGCGACTGGAGCACGTGAAGATTGAGATGGCCAAGCTGGCCATTCAGTTTTGAATGATGTGACGTCACTGGTGAAAACAAGGTCACAAACATGCTCTTTTGGTAAATATGAATAAATATCAACATTTTCACATGCGTTCAAAACAGCATAGCTAAAACCAATATGCAAGATAAACACAGCTGCGCATACAACGATTCTGAAATGTATATCAGACCCAACGACAGTCGGTGAATACTCGCCATGTTTGTCAAGTGTTACTTGCCGGGTGCCTTTTGGTTGAGTGAAAAGTCCAATTCTTGCTCTATAGACGTCGATCGACACCATTTCTTGTCTTACTTCGGTCCCTGGTATTATGTCAAACGCTTATTTCAACTTCAATTCTGTCAATTTCGGCCATAACACGACATTAAAGTGATTTTTTGACAGAGCGCATCAACACACGTCTTGACATGACAAGGGGCGTAACTCTCCGTAACTCTTGCCCCGCTTTTTGTCATTGAAGCCTTCAAAAATAAAACCTATACAGCTAGATAATAAATTGTCCAAACGTGGGCGATCGTAATTGGCATAATCTCTATGGAAAAGTCCTTGAAGATTCATTTTAAACAAGACATATATAATCCAAGTTAGCTCAAATTGGGACTTTTAACTTGAATTTGCCACTGGAATCAAACAGATTCAAACCGCTTAGTGAATAGGTTATGACATCACATCGGCTATATTACAGCCATACTGTGAACAAGAAGGCATTTATATTTTCAAAAAACCTGCCAACAAAGGACAGTAAAATGACTAGTAACATATCACGGATTTGTGTCATAACTTGTCTGAAAACAATACTACAATCATAAATAAATACAATAACACAATAGACGTATCAGGCTATAGATCGCCAGCAACCAAAGTTCTGTCGCCTTGCTAGAGAGGGTGGGGACTTTAAATTATGATACCTCTGCAGCCTGCAGGGTTTGCGACATCCCTTTTTTGCTTGCGGTATCTTATGTGATACATTCATCAGAAATAAAATCGACAAAACAACGTTTATTTGTTTATTATAACACCCCGAATAATTTGATACGAGACATAGTGTAATTATAGGACTCAGCCCCCCAAGCTATACAAATGACGTAGCTGTTTTTGTCAAACCGAAGTAAAGTCTGTGTCAGGCCTTGACAGTAAACTGAAGACTAATAGAACATGGAGGTAAATAAAGGCCCATGCGCCAGGACCAACTGGCATGTGATACCCATTCATATTCATTGATAATGACACTCCAAGCAATACTTTATTCTGTTTATTACATTACCCAGTTTGACATACATGGCGGTCCATTTGGATTGTCTATCTTTTGGGTGTACAGATAACAAACGCACTGAACCAAAATTTTTATGCTTACTTGGCATTCAGGCACTTATAGCAGTGGTCTTAAATAACTTCCGGTTCGGGAAAACACCCGTTTACTTTGTAAGATGTTATGGACTGAAAATGTGGTCGTTCTAGCTGCTTTGTTAAGAAAGATATTAGTATGTACTTCCATATGGATCCTTTTACTTCAGGTTTTGGAAAAAAGTACTGCCAGTTTGAATGATGTCATTTCCTGTTTGAACTGTAAGGCTGTATTTAAACTAACAACAAAACAATAAAACATAAAATAAATAACTGCCGCATTCCACTTTGTATTTCGGGAAGCATGTTCACTCTAGGAGAACAATCAGGAAGAAATCAAAGCTACTGTGGAAGACATTCAAGACAATACTGATGACTCTAGCGTCGATACAGTCGTCACCACTCGCTCCTTTCCGTAACCCGCAAGAGCTATTCGGTTCGTCCCGGAATAACACGAGTTCGTCACGAATGGCGTCGATGTAGAGGCCGTTAATGAATGTTACACAATATTATAGTAACGCTTCCTTCTACCAGTATCGAGGGTGGAGATACACAATGCCGACTTTCAATGTTTCCACGCAGAACCTTTAAACAAACGATTTACAAAGTGAGTCAGAAGTAGAATCCCAAGAACCAAACATTTCTAACTTCCAATGTATTCCACGAATAACCTACAAGGTAAGAAAATAAATTTTACGATAAAAACAACATAACAGCAGTTAAGTCTAATATGTGAGTGCAAAAAGGATTTCAGAAATATACAGTTTGATGTATTACGCATGGAAACAAGTCTTGAGAGTTTGGAATCATTTCAACTGCTAGGTCCAGGGGAAGACAAAGTTGAGGTGCACTGAAAATCGTGAATCCAAAGTGGCTGCCCCACAATGTGACCAGCGACAAAACTGAGACACATGTCAAGTATGACAGTTGGCTGTGGAGCAATATAGCAACATATGTTTATAAAATAAAGGAATTTATAATTGTCCGCACTTGGTCACTGGACCCATAGGCATACAATGTTTGTGGTATGTGATACCCAACAGCTCATCAGCACGCACGCACGCACACACGCACGCACCCCCATAAACAAACATTTGGACAGAATCGGGCCACTGCTTATTGAGTTGTTATAGGTACAAAAGAGGAATAATACTATACTCATCAATACTGCCATTAATTTTATGGATGAGCTTTTATGGATATCCACACAAATAGGACACATAAGATTTATTGGAGAAGTACATTCAGATGAATTGTTACTGGTTCAATCATTTTGGGGATTGGAATTTTGCTTGCTTTGACAATTGTGACTTGCAAGTCTTTGTTTGTTGAGTGTACAGATATGTGCATATGTTGTACGAATCTTGGACTGCTGCCATCTCAATATTGCCTCGGTTGTTTTAGGCTAATCCACTATCAGCATAACCACACCTCATATGGCGCCATTTTGGACTGGTTGACTCACGTTATACACAACGATACATTGTGTGAGAATGCTTCCCATCCGTAGCTGGCTTGAAAGCTGGGCATGAAATGACGTTTGGCGCCCATGGCCCATGAACCTATTCAAAAGAGAATTCAAATTGATTTCAAATGGAATAAGTCATCTTGTATCACATGGAAAGAACAATGTGACGGTAACGAGCAACATTCCGTTATGAAGAGAGTTCGTGGTATATGTACAAATCATGTCACACGTGGGTGGAGGCAAGTTCGCCGCGAGTGTGTCCACCTTGGGGGTTTGTGCAGGCCTGGCACTTTTTCCCCCATTGAGGCCACTAAACGTTGAAGAAAGGTTTGGGAAATGATATTCTATATCACTGGATAGGCAAGAGTTCCTGCAAGGTTATTGGAGGATTTGGAAGGCGTCGCATCTTATTGCTGGGCGTAATCGTGCTGACATGTTGCTGTGTTGCAGAAAGGTTGAAACGTCCGTTAGCAAAATTTCATCCTGGAATATCTCAGCTTTCGAATTCCAATGAATGATAATCATTTGAGTCATTCTAGCCATTATTCCACCCTGGATCAACACCGCCACTTCTAAAGGGATCACCTTCCTGACCTAACGTTCACCGTTACACATATCGACATTGCCATAGGATTGGTGAAACAGGAAACTCTCGCATGGATGCCTAGACTGACATTTAGTCCCAGAAATAAAGTTATCTTAATTACAATTATATATCTACAATAAGAAATATAAAAATCCAAATTGAGCCCAGAACAATCCTTAATTTCAGGGACTTGGATCTGCAAAGCTCTAATTTGTTGGAATGTCTGTAGTCTTGTCCAAAGTTAACCTTTTATTTCTGTTTACATGCCACAGCTACTCAGAAGGCCTATTCCTGACCGCTCCCTGCCACCTCCCTCCCTCCTTGGTATCCCTCCTCCCCCTAGTGTGGCACCAAGACTTGCTTTTCTTGTGTTTTTTCGACCCGTGAAGATTCGGGGTAGAATAGGTCTGCGGCATCACATGCTTGTCGTAAAAGGCGATTATTCTTGCCGTAAGAGGCGACTAACGGGATCGGGTGGTCAGGCACGCTGACTTGGTTGATGCAAGTCATCGATCCCAATTGCGTGGATCGATGCTCATGATGTCAATCACTGTATTGTCTGGTCTAGACTATATTATTTACAGACCGCCGTGATATAGCTGTAATATTGCTTAGTGCGGCGTTAAACAACAAACAAACAAACAATTCTTGTGTTTTCATAGAGCTGAGGCAATCTAGACTTGTCAGATCATTTTAGACTTGAGTTGGACTTCTTTTTATTTTTTCTCTCTAGGATATGGGGGACAAACTAGCGGATGCGTAGACACCGCCTGACTGTCCTCGCAGATAGGCATATTGTTGCCAGGGATGACAAGGTCTATAGGATATGCTATCTGGAACCTGTATCGAAAGATGCGTGGTTCGAATCCATGTTCTTGGCAAGGGGTTGTAACGGGTGGGTTGCCATTACAGGGAAGTGGTCTGAAGTGGATGCTTGGTGGTTATCAACAGAAGTGCCATATGTTTTTTCTGTGGACGTTATATTGTGAGGTCGCTATAAATTCAAGTATTTCTATGGCTTCCATTTGCCATTTTCACTCTGGCGTTGGATGATGAAATCTCATAATAACGAGCACAAGTTGTGTTTTTCTGTGGACTGCTTAGGGTGACGATAACATACAAAATCACTGACATTTGGTTAGGTACGTTTCTTCGAGTTTTATATAATTATTTTCCTTGGTTCGAATGCAAAATATTATGTTCAGGTTTGTTTGGGAAATACACGTCACAACAACTTTGCCTTTGAATATATTATTGTTATGCTCAAAATGTTTGACAGATTTCATTTGAATAGAAATGTAATGTATAGACCTGTTTCACTACTTCATGGCATGCTAGTTTGATATCCACTTAGTTTTTTTTATAAGGAACCACATAATGTGTGTGAAAAACTTCTTTACATAGCGGATAATGGCCCTGGAAAAGAACATGCAGCTGACGGTGAAGCTATAGGGGGTCCCGTGGCTGACATACAGGTGGAAGAGACAGAGGAGGGTTTGAGGCAGAGGCGGCAGAGGGAACAGAGGGAACAGATGATCAGAGAAGCAGGTCCCCGCAGAGGACCCAGACTAGCCAGGAAAATGAAACCCAAGGACAAAAAAGAATACAACAAGATCATATTTCTGCCTTGTGCCCTCTGCGACTTTGCAAGAACAGGATTACTGTTTATTGGCCTGCGTCAGACGTTCCCAAGTAGTTTCATAATGCTGCAGGGTGAGTGAGTATGACCTTGAAGCATCATGTCACCACCCCGAACGACTCCGGTGTACCGCTCGATCGCCTGTCCCAATCTGTTTCGAATTGAACGAATTCCAAACGATATCAATATCATGGTTAAGGGTTTTTGATACAAAATGATTTCCAACAATGGCGGTCCGGTCAGAAAAAGAACGATCACCTCAACTGAATTAAATTTGAATCCAATTTATTTCACTTGACACTGTATCTCTTTGCAGGTGTTGGTTTGCTAGCAACATGCACCTTGACCGTGGCTTTTGTTGGCCGTGAAAAGACAGTACGTAAACTGCAGTGGGTGGGTGCCTCAATATGTGCCGTGGGTCTGGCTGTGATCGGCCTGAGGGATTATGTGTGGGGGAAGGACCACACATATGACCCGTACGGGATAGCTGCGGGTAAGTGAATTGTCTTCTATGTACTTAAACTGTAACTGCGATGCGGCGCTTATAAAATATTAAATAATGGCATGTTCATTTTCCTCAAAACCTGTATGTACCTTTAGAGATATTTTCTTAGTGACGGGGTCAAGGCGCCGGAATTCTCTTTCTCTGTGCGCGCCAGTATTCGATGATCGTGAGTTCGAATCCCAAATTCGCCTTGATTATGATGCTTGATTTGGCAGCACCATGCTCGTGCTCGTGGGTTTCACTGAACTGGTATACGTCTAAGACTGGCGTCACTGTCGCGGTTGTTTCAGGGGACCTGCTGATTGTCATGGCGCAACTGATGACGTCAATTCAAGTGATCCTTGAACAGCGCTTTGTGAAGAAACACGATATAGATCCACTTGTGGCTATTGGACTTGAAGGTATGCAGTGTTTGTACAATATGAAACATTCAAGTGGGAAGAAGTAAACAAGCACTATGTAGCAGAGCATAGCAGTACAGAGAGTAGCTGTACCCTGCACATGTGTACCTCCAGTAATGTCAAACATTGAAGACTGCCTGCGTGGTCTAGTGGTAGAGCGTCCGCCCGGAGAGTGGACAGTCCGGGGTTTGATCCCTGGTCGCGTCATACCAAAAGACGTTAAAATAGTATACTTGTTGTAACCCTGCTTGGCGCCCGGCATTATGGGGCTAAAACAAGGACTGGTTGTCTTTTTTTGACATGGAGATACAACAATGTCCTAAAATCGAAACCTTTCAATCTCTTTTCCAGACTGTATGATCCATAGTTTTTATTTTTACCTCTAAACCTCACCTTTACCCTCACAATAATCAATGTAAGTCAAACGAATGGCTCTGGCAATGACCCAAATTACAGATTCACCGATGCTACCATGGCACTATACCAACTGAAATGGTACAGGAAGGCCAAAGGTTGAAAATGGGCAAGATAGCACAATCCACAGAAACTATATAGCATATGTTAGTGGGCACATCACGTAATAGCAGTACACACAGAAATGACAAAACAATGGGGAAAAATAACTGTTGCTGTACGTTACGTTGTTTTAGTTCCATTTTTCTTCAACCTCTGGGGGTCACGGGTGGCCCAGTTGTCTTAAGGCACCGCAATTCGCTGTGCAGAGTTGCGTCCCTTGGGCACGCCAGAAACCTATGATTGTGGGTTCGAATCCCGGTTCGCCCCGATTATGTTTCTAGGTTTGTCAGCACCATCCCCGTGCTTGCTGGTTTCACCGAAGTGGTAAACGTCTGAGACCTGCACCACTTCGGGCTTTCCTCCCACATTAAGCTGACACGCCGCGATATAACTGTAATACTGTTAAAAGCGGCGTTAAACCCACATCACTCACTCACTTTTCCATCTCTTTTTGTAGTCAGAATGGTAAAAAAAGGCCTTGGTATTATGATGATTCTTGACATATTTCTGAGCTTTGCCATTAAGTGTAAAATAAGGCATTATTCACCAAATCTACCTGTTTTCCTTGAACAACTTTCAGTACGAAATGTTCCCATGTCCGTTGATTTATATACCAGTTGCCATGGAGTAAGTAGAACTCTCTGAACTTAAAGATCAGTTTATATGGACAACGCTTTAACTTCTGTAACATCTCCGTGATTTGTAGGGATGTTTGGGTTTATCCTCTTGATTATCCTGCTCATCCCATTCTACTTCGTGGACGTGGGAGCATTTAATACCTTGCCGAAACACCGCCTGGAGGATCCGTATGACGCCTTCTGTCAGATGCAGATGGATTACTCAATCATAGCAGCCTTTCTAGGTAATGTGTTTTTCATGCTTTTTTTTCTAGACGTTTGCCCAGCGTCTTTATTGTAACCAGGATTCCCTACTTGACCCATTCCTTTGTTGACACAACTCTCTCTGTTGGGTGTGTGAACTGTCCATGAAGCCAGAATACATTCATGGCTTATTACCCACCCACATGTACACCCCCATCGACCAAACCAAATTATGACCTTTTGCATATTATCTCAAACTGTAAGTTCTATATATGAATGTGAGGAGTGTTTGCAAATGAGTGCGTCTAAGAATAGAATGTTATGCAGCTGGTGGGGTACACATGACATGACATATGTTTTGTGTGGATTTCTCCACCACAAGGTATAAAAGGGTCAATACATTATCTGTTAAGGAACGTTTTAATAATGTTAATCCTTGTTTTAATATCGTCGTATTTTAAAAAAGATATTGAATTAGTTATTGATATTTTGTATGAAGTTTTAATTTGTCAGTTTTACGTGTCGGCTTACCGTGTAAACACTCGATAGCGACAAGAGAGGTTGGGCACCTGCTGTACGGGGAGCATGCAGGTAGTGGATGTTCATGTGCCTGGGCCAAAGGTTTGTTTGCTCTATATGCGGTGTTGTTCACTGGTTATATCTTTTAGTATACCTCATCTAATGTTAAACGTTACGTTACATATGTGTATACCTTATGTTCCCGGCAGGTAGCGTGCTTTTCTGGCCGCTGTACTACTACTGTGGGCTGTCTATCACCAAGCACGTGAATGCAGTAACCCGGATGGGGGTGGACATCAACATACAGATGCTGACTTGGGCAGTGTACATCATGGCACAGTGGCAAGCATTCCATGCCTCACAGATTCTTGGATTCGGTGTCTTTATTGTTGGGATCATCGTGTTCTTCCTCGATGCTGACCCCATTATAGCGAGATTCCAGGGTTGGCGAGAGAGAAGACGAGAAGGAAATGGAGAGAATGAACCATTGAACCCAACAAACCCTGGTATTTTTTAAAAACTGTCCAGTCTGTGCTTTGTTCTTTGTCGCCTTATTATTTTATGAACCATATCATATGTCAATTTGTATGATATTTACTGACAATTAATAAGCTACAATAAAAGCTACAATTCTTTACCAGCATGTAATATTTAAAACTAAATGTATATTTTAAGTGTTTCCTTGTCTAAAACAAAGTATTCCATGTATGCCCAGTCGCTATGTTCCTCCAGCAGATATGCCACCTGTTCTGTTATCAGTTATTCCATGTATGCCCAGTCACTATGTTCCTCCAGCAGACCTGCCACTGTTGTTCTGTTATCAGTTATTCCATGTATGCCCATTCACTATGTTCCTCCAGCAGACTTGCCACTGTTGTTCTGTTATCAGTTATTCCATGTATGCCCAGTCACTGTGCTCCTCCAGCAGACCTGCCACTGTTTGTTCTGTTATCAGTTATTGCATGTATGCCCAGTCACTGTGCTCCTCCAGCAGACCTGACACTGTTATCAGTTATTGCATGTATGCCAAGTCACTATGTTCCTCCAGCAGAACTGACACTGTTGTTTAGTTATTCCATGTATGCCCAGTCACTGTGCTCCTCCAGCAGACTTGCCACTGTTGTTCTCTTATCAGTTATTCCATGTATGCCAAGTCACTATGTTCCTCCAGCAGACCTGACACTGTTATCAGTTATTCCATGTATGCCCAGTCACTATGTTCCTCCTGCAGACCTACCACTGTTGTTCTGTTATCAGTTATTCCATGTATGCAAAGTCCCTATGTTCCTCCAGCAGACCTGCCACTGTTGTTCTCTTATCAGTTATTCCATGTATGCCCAGTCACTATGTTTCCCCAGCAGACCTGACACTTTTATCACTTATTCCATGTATGCCCAGTCACTATGTTCCTCCAGCAGACCTGACACTGTTGTTCTGTTATCAGTTATTCAATGTATGCCAAGTCACTATGTTCTCCAGCAGACCTGCCACTGTTGTTCTGTTATCAGTTATTCCATGTATGCCCAGTCACTATGTTCCTCCAGCAGACCTGCCACTGTTGTTCTGTTATCAGTTATTCCATGTATGCCCAGTCACTATGTTCTCCAGCAGACCTGCCACCTGTTCTGTTATCAGTTAGTCCATGTATGCCCAGTCACTGTGTTCCTCCTGCAGGCCTGACACTGTTGTTCTGTTATCAGTTAGTCCATGTATGCCCAGTCACTGTGATCCTCCAGCAGACCTGACACTGTTATCAGTAATTGCATGTATGCCAAGTCACTATGTTCCTCCAGCAGATCTGCCACCTGTTCTGTTGTCAGTTAGTCCATGAATGCCCAGTCACTATGTTCCTCCAGCAGACCTGCCACTGTTGTTCTGTTATCAGTTATTTCATGTATGCCCAGTCACTATGTTCTCCAGCAGACCTGCCACCTGTTCTGTTATCAGTTAGTCCATGTATGCCCAGTCACTGTGTTCCTCCTGCAGACCTGACACTGTTGTTCTGTTATCAGTTAGTCCATGTATGCCCAGTCACTGTGCTCCTCCAGCAGACCTGCCACTGTTTGTTCTGTTATCAGTTATTCCATGTATGCCCAGTCACTGTGCTCCTCCAGCAGACCTGACACTGTTATCAGTAATTGCATGTATGCCAAGTCACTATGTTCCTCCAGCAGATCTGCCACCTGTTCTGTTATCAGTTAGTCCATGTATGCCCAGTCACTGTGTTCCTCCTGCAGACCTGACACTGTTGTTCTGTTATCAGTTATTCCATGTATGCCCAGTCACTGTGTTCCTCCTGCAGACCTGACACTGTTGTTCTGTTATCAGTTAGTCCATGTATGCCCAGTCACTGTGTTCCTACTGCAGACCTGCCACTGTTGTTCTGTTATCAGTTAGTCCATGTATGCCCAGTCACTGTGTTCCTCCTGCAGACCTGACACTGTTGTTCTGTTATCAGTTAGTCCATGTATGCCCAGTCACTGTGTTCCTCCTGCAGACCTGACACTGTTGTTCTGTTATCAGTTAGTCCATGTATGCCCAGTCACTGTGTTCCTCCTGCAGACCTGACACTGTTGTTCTGTTATCAAGTTAGTCCATGTATGCCCAGTAAAAGTGTTCCTCCTGCAGACCTGACACTGTTGTTCTGTTATCAGTTATCCAAGACTACGGTATACAGGAACAAGTGCAACCCCGGAGAAACCGACCGAGATAGGCTGTGAGAACTTCAGCTGGATTGGATAGCAAAAATATTAAGGCAAGGATTAAAGTACAACATATCATTATATTTTTATATTTTTTTTTACAAAATACAATATACCGAGAGCGAAGGTCTTTGTGAACACGTGTAATAACTCACAGCTCGTCGACAACTGTACCGTGCAGTTTCTGAATATTTGGAAGTCAATACGTTTCACGGATACAAGAGTACAGAACTCATACAATTTCAATTTTTTTGTATTTTTATTTGTGAATGGAAAACAATATTCATCTCCGAAAAGAAACAGGTTTAGAAAACCGATGATGACAAACATGACAATTGCTTTAAATGTACTTTCCATGCGTCGTCATCAGTTATCAGCTTCTTCCGGCCTACCCAGTGAGGATCCGGGTTCGAAGTGGTCATGCTTGTGGTAAGAGACGACTAACGGGATCGGGTGTTCAGGTTCGCTGACTTGGTTGATGCATGTTTTCGTATCCACATTGCGCAGATGATGGATCAATGCTCATGATGTTATTCCCATGAGTTTCCATGTCCAGAACTAATTATTTACAGACCGCCGTCATATATTTGGAATATTGCTGAATGCGGCGTCAAACAACAAGCAAACAGTTGTCCGTTCTAGACGATATTGCAAAACTTTCTTATAACTTCTCCCAAACTGTTTTTTTTTCAGAAAGGTGACATGGACCATGGGAGGTGGTCAGCAAACAGTTTATCAAGGAAATTTAAATTGAAAATTTGTCTCTGGTAACAGTGCAAATAGGTTTGAATCTTCTCTGAACATGCAACTGAGATCATTTTAAACTTTATTGAGACGTAAGTCTCATCTTTAAGAATATTTTGTCAGAGTGATTCATTTCTCATCATTGGCTTATTCTATTAACTTCAGCTGTCATTCACTAATCAGTCCAATGAAATACATATGCATGTCATCTCCCAGATGGTACTCGTCAATTCAGAATGAGCTACATTTATCATTTTGTATAGTTATGTAAACCATTTACAATATATTTTCGACTTATGTTCAGGCCAACCATTTGATATTCTTGGGAGAACTTGGGGAAATTTGTTGGGTGGGGTGGAGGGTGGGGGAACAGCTATTGAAAATACAAAATAATACCTGGTTTTGCCGCTGAAGCTAAACAATCAGCAAAGTCCCTGTCCCCCCGAATATCTCACGGTTGGTCCCTACTCTACAGTATGCTTCTCATGCATACCCAATTTCAGATTGTTGCTGAATGGGTGTATTACATGTTATACAAGTGTAACGATCTACAAAAGAACCTTATGACTGGTTAGTTTGTCTTTATTCTAGCTTCTTATGCATCATGCATCAGGATTACCACAGCGAGGATGGGAATTAAAGAAACTATTAAAATTGCAAATCCATACCTGCAAATGGGCCTAGGCCTGCGTGTGTAAATCCATGTTGTGTATTAGATATGTACATATGCCATAGTGCTATGTAACATGATGATGTTGAATTATAATAAAAGTATTTGGTTCTATCTTCCTAAAGTGTTTACATCATAGGGTGATGCTCTACAGAGGCTGTGCCATGGGCGATCCAAGCGTCGACACTTAATATCCAAGTCAAGCAGCAATGTGGGCGAGGAGAACTGAGCTATAACGTCAAATACACGATTATTGCACTATATAGTGATATTTGTGTGTGTGTGCGTGCGTGAGCGTGCGTGCGTGCTTGCGTATGTGTGTGTGTGTATGTGCGTGCTCGGTGCGCGCGCGCGTGTTCTAGTCCGGACTAATTCCGGTCGTGTAGCACTAGCATACTGAGATACCATGGTAGTTTAACATGAATATCCCACTCAAACACAGTATACTGACTCCAAGTCCTTGTCTTATCCCCATGTTATCTTAAAATGAAGTACCATTTTTTGGTATGACGCAGTCGGAGATCGAACTATCGACTTCCAAATCTTCCGGCAGACACTCTATCCAGTAGACCATGTATGCGGTCCAAGTCAAACTGCGAGTGAATGAATGACTTTATTTCGTAAGGGGGCCACCGGCCCATTATACATTGTTCATTAATCGGTATCCATTGTAACGAGGGTGCGCCAGATGATAACAGAGTATATAAAACTAACAATAGTAAAACAATAGAGCAGATCATACTAAAAAGATCATTCTTGTCCACAGGGGTTTGTCCCAACCCATTACTTAATATGAAATTGTTTACAGTGCATAAATAAACAATGAAGCTTTGGAAAGTATCAGTACTTATTTACAAAAGAGTTTGTCACAGTAGATAAGTACATAAATTCTGTTTACAGTATATATATGAGCAATAAAGTTTGAAAAGTAGAGCAGAAAAGTAAATCCTACAAGAAGCATCAGTTCTTGTTTACAAAGCGTCTATTTCACCCGACCACTGGGGACTGAATTATTGAAAGCCATTATTAAATATGTAGTGAGTATCAACCCAAATACATGTGGTTTCCTCTTAATACTTGTTCATATTAATCATTGGTTAAGAACTTTTCCCTTTTCTTAAATGCAAGATAATAAATTTTCCTATGCTGTTTAACATTGTGGTGTTAGAAGATACAAGTAAACTATGAAGCTTTTGCTCTGTAGGACAGCGGTGATAATAGCTAGGAATAAGTGACTGTCTTAAATCCGAATAGAAGTTACATTCAAGACAAAAATGGAACTCTGTTTCTACGGTGGGAATAACACAAAAAGGACAGAGACGTTTATGTCTCGCCAAACCCAGCTTTCTGCCTGCCTCAGTCATCAACTGATGGCTGGAGCACCTAAGTGAACAAAGTGCAATACGATAAGCTTTTATATTAACATCGTATAAATCATTTTCAAATACAATATGAGATTTCAATGATCTGTACAGATCTAGCTGGAGAATTTTTGAAGATTTGACAACCACTTTTGTTGATCAATATCGATACATCTTTGTTTAAATGAAGCCAAAAACTGATTTACATTTCCAATATTCTGAGCCTCACAAACAGTTCCAAAACCATAGTTGTAAAGCAGCATTTCACATCTAGGGCCCATGATTTGATATTTTTATTTGCAAAAGATAATTGGTAATTATACACATATTTTAGAATACCGTTCTCTTCTTGGTACAACAACCGTATCCAAAACTTAATGATTTTAACAAAACGGTTTACTTGAAGATGGTATCGACCAAGCTCTCCACGAGCAACAATGTTTGGTGTAAATCTGCTAAGATTCAAAATAGTTTTAATAAATACGTCATGAAATCTTTCAACATCGGGTGAAGTGTGGAATCCCCGCACTTCACTTCCGTAGTTTAGAACTGGGGAAGTTTTAACATCGAAGATGTGTAATAATACTTTCAAGGGCAATTTAGCGAAGTCTGCAATTTTAGATTTTAAACACTGGAGGGTTTTTTTAGCTTGCAAAGCTAAAGTTTTTTGTGTCTTGTACCAAGATCCCGAGCTTGACAAATGAACACCCAAGTACCTATAGGTAGGGACCATCTCCAAAGCGTCATCTTTTGGAAAGAACTTTTCAAAAGATTTCAATCTTCCCCCTTTCCTGAAGACTACGATTTTACTTTTTTGTATATTAACTTTTATCTGCCACTTATCACAATATTGAGCAAGTTTATCAAGCCTTTTCTGAAGACCTTTTACAGTACCATCTAGTATGGCAATATCATCCGCGAAAAGCAAGAATAATAATTGAATCATACCTAAATTAATAGTATATTGGTTCCCTTGATCAAGAAATTCCACCAAATCGTTTATAAAAAATGAAAACAAAAAGAGAGACAACTGGCATCCTTGTCTTACGCCAAAGCTGTAGTCAAAAAAATATGTATACCCGTTTTGCAGTAGTACACACGATTTTACACATTCATACATATTTTTAATAACATTGAAGATACGACCTTTAATATTGCCTATCCAGAGTTTATATAACAAGGCAGGATGTGAGACCGAGTCAAAAGCAGATTTTAAATCTATGAACGCACCATATAGTCTCCCTTTGTGTAAAGAAAAATATTTATTTATGACTGCAATTAGAATAAAAACATTATCCACAGTTTGAAAACCCTTTCTGAACCGAGCTTGTTCCGGGACTAAGGTATTACATTCACTTGCCCATTCAGTTAGCCGACTACAGATAATTTTTGCGAATATTTTCCCAGCAACTTCTAACAAGGTAACTGGACGATAATTGCTAGGGTCGTTAGAGTTACCTTATTTTATAAATAGTGACAATAACGCCAAATGTCCATTGTTGTGGATAAATCCCCGTAGACAATATTTGATTAAACAAAAGCTGGAGCATATCAATACATTCAGTAGGTGCATACTTAAAGAACTCTAACGGTATACCACTAAAACCAGGGGATTTGCCAGAGTGCATTTCATCAATAGCTTTGTGGATTTCGACTTGTGTAATGGCAGAGTCTAAGCCCTCATTATCAACAGTTAACTCTACTCGGTCTGGGGAGATAGACTTTACAAAACGTTTTACAAAGTCATAAAACTCTTCCTCTTCTATGGAATAATTTGTTCCTTGAAAATATTTATTTAAATGATCCAACCAAGTTCTTTGCGAAATATTGTTTTGGAACAATTGACGAGGTTTTAGATAAGACCAAAATACTTTGCTGTTTCTGTACAAAAGTGCATTGCTAGTCTTCGCAACAAATAGGTTGAAACTATGTGATGATCTAAATTTACATAGGTTCTTGTAATATGTCCACGCCTCAATGTATCCAATTCTGTCTGCTTCCTTTTTAGAGTCGTGAAATGAGCGAAGGCAAGATCTAACAAATGCACGTGCATCGTTACATTCTGTGTCATACCAATTATCTCCCTTTGGAGAACAATTGTCAAAATGTCTAGTTGGCTTTTTGTAATTATCGGCACACCATTTCACAAGTTCATAGAGATGAGTACAGGCATTAAATACTTGTCCCTGACCAGCTGCTGAGTAGAAGTTCTGTTTTAGTGAAGCTGGTGGATTCTCCCATCTTTGCTGATAGTCGCCGGACGACTGCTACCCCAGACATATCTCAGCTGGCGTGGCTGATCACGGCTTGGCAGGTCAGCATGACCTCTTGTTAATTTCAGGGAGCAGGACACTGGCAAATGGGAACTTTCAACCTCGTCCTCAATTAAACAGAAATCAGTGATTAAGTCGAATGTTCTTTCAAAACATAGCAAGTAGTCAACAACACTATTCCCATTGTTAGCCAAACAAGTGAAACGGCCAATATTAGTACCTTTACCTAATCGGCCATTGCATATTCTTAGACCATTTTTTTTACAGAATTCTACAAGCATATGCCCACGTTTATTAACCAATTTTTCCTGTGATCTGCGGGGAGGGGGATATTTTCTACGTAGTTGATGCCTACGTCGAGAGGTAGGAATTAAGTGGCTATCATCGTTCTCAATATAGTCGCACTGATTTCCATCTCCCGTTCGAACATTGAAATCTCCTTGAATAATGACGTCGCATCTCGGATATCTGGTTGTATATTCTTCTATGTCTGCTTTCAAAATGTCGATCAGAGGTTCGGAAGAGTAATCACTGGAACCCTCCGGTGAGAAGTAAACAACACAGTACAGCAGCACTGATCTGCCTGGAGGACAGAACTTCAGCCACAACACATTGCACGAAGTACTTGGTAGTTCAGAAACATAGGCTGCTATACTGTCTTTAACTAGCATTAATATTCCACCAGAGTTCCTGATGGCTGTGTCTTTCTTAACTCCTGTTCGAGAATATTGAACATAATTCGGTAAAGCTGGGGCGTTCTCACTACACCAGGTTTCTAGAAATGCAACACACTCAAATTTGTTAATGAAATTTAAAAAGTCTGATTTATCCAGTTTTCTTCTTAGTCCTTCTATATTCCAAAAAAGGCTCTTCCAAAAACATTCATATATTTGAAGGCCACGGCCTTGACCATACCCCTACAGTCCTGACCTTGTCTCCCTTGCCGGAAATAATTTAATCAGACTTAGTTTGTTATTGACCTCATTTAACTTATACAGTTTATTGTCAATGAGAAGTTTATCATACCTTAGAGCTGAAAAACTACCGTTCTGTCGTGCTTGGTCCATGAAAACCTTCAGTTTCCTTCTGATTTCTCTAGTCCTTTCCGTGAAATCCTGAGAAACACTGATGTTCGAGTCTTTCAGCATTCTAGTTGATTTTAGGACCGCTAGTTTTTATTTCCAGTTCTTAAAAGTTATGAGAATGGGCCTTGTCCCCCGGAATTTTGTCGATAGGCGCTTGACACTTTCAATGTCGGGTGCGTCCGTCAGGTTCATAGAGTTCTTCATCAAATCACACACTTTCCGTCCAGTGTCCAACATGGTCTCACCATCGCTTTCTTCCACATGATTATTTTTCTTCATGTTTATATCCAAGTAATCTACTTTATTGGTTAAGGTATATACCAACGTGCGAAGTTCTGTGTTTTCGCTAGCCAGCTCCGACACCTCACGTTCCAACGCAGTCATTCTATCCCCCAGCTTT